GGAAAGACAGATTGCTTGGACATAACGCGCAGATGAATTCCTCTTCACATTAAATTCAAACCTGAAAATTAAACAGATTTTGGATGTTGTGTCGTTTGTCGACGATATTATCATTGTCATCATCGTACAGTGAGATACAGAGAAGAGAACTCTACTGATCACTATCAAGCTCTCAGGGGACACAAAGTAAGTGAGTAAGTACAAGAACAGGGACTGGGCTTCACTGGAGGGCAGAAATGAAAGTGAACCTCTATGGTCAACATACCGTTTCAGGCATTCTGGCCTGATAAGAAATGTCATCAGGAATTCCACTGTTGTCAGTTTGTTGCTATATCCTTCAATGTCTCCAACCAACCAGTTACAGACTTTAGTACCCCAATCCGGTGGGCACAAGACACTTATTCTACTCAATCGCTTTATACATTTATGTATGCCCCATTTCCACGTCATCTGTTGATCTCCACGTGGTTTCCTCCAACCTGGAGCCGAAACCGCGAATAAAACGCGATGAGGTAGACGACAGCTAGGCACACGAAATACGTGCCCGAGCCAGCGAAGCCTACTCATCTGAATTCTGTGATAACGAAGTTTTCACTGAACGCGAAGAGTTTGGTCGATTCGATCGGGAACGGGTCGGGATCCTGCTTGCTGTTCACGAATATTCATCTCCCTTAGGGGTGTCAGGTGGTGAAGTATAACAGAAGTTAACACCTCTTTGATGATCGGAACTAAACTTATCCCGAGATGATCTGCGCAGCCCTTGGGTGATCCTTTCTTGAAGATCGGGACGATCACCTTTGAATGAAGGGATAGGCTGCTCTGACCAGATGTTGCGAGATAAGCTAATAATCGGGTTGACAAGAGAGTCACAACCCAGCATGAAAATAATGAGGAGAAACCCATCAGGTTTTTTATCACACACGAAGTGATTCCCAGAATATGGGTAAACCCCCTCCCTTTCTTTAGTGATTGTATACAGCTTCGTACTTCTAATTCTGATGGGGGCTTATATATGTTGTCAACCATGGAGTTTCCACTGCAACTGTCCGGTTCATCCTGTTCAATACCACACCTAACCTAGCGGGGTCTTATGTGGATTGTCACTCCAAGTCCGGGGCTTAGGTTACCGGTTTCCATCACTGAATAGCAGGTCTTCGTGACGATAGGGTCCGCCACGTCTGCTGTTCATCGCGCTGAGATGTGTGATAATAAAAAACTGACAAAATAACGAAACTAGTACAAGATCAATTGAACTGTTCACTAAAATCCTCTGTGGAGTGATTAAGTTCTTCTTTATTGTGGACACTCTGTCCACTTTAATTGCAAATGATCTCACTAACCGGTGTGCGTCGATCTCCTGTGTTGCATATCACATGAGACCCCGTCCAAAGGGCGCATGATCTGATGTACTGCACCCCCACCCACCCCAAATAGATTGCGGTTTTCACACACCGCCCCGCTGCCTTGCGTGTCAGCCTTTGGCTAGCCAAAGGCACCGGTTCTGGATTCCTCAAGAAGATTCACCTGATCTGGGTAACCTGGCAGTATTCAGCCCGAATGCAGATCATGAGATTAAATGGAGTAGAGAAGGATCTTCGAGTAAGAATGTTTTCACGTGAAATTCAGCGGAGACGGTTTTTTCTTTAATTTGAATAAACCATCCTTCAGACTCCATATTCACACACAAACCTCAGTCGCTCCAGTCAACCATACAATCGGTAGCACTAGATCTGAGTTCCGCTATCAGGAGAGCTCATGAGTAAGTAATTCGTATCCAGTGTCCCGTCTGGTGTTTGAACTCCAGACCAGTCACATGGAGACTGGGTGTGTTATCGTTGTGCTGATCAGATCACATCGGACCTGACCGGAATTATCGATTCATGTTTGTTCGGATATCGTCTTCAGAGAGATTCAGTCATTTCTGAAGGACAGTCAGTTCAAATCAGATAAACATCCGTCTGGAGTTGTGTATGTATGAATTTGTGTCATGATTCAGTGTTCCATGTACTTTGTATGATGATGTTTGCTTAATCCCATTTCCCAACTGAGAAGTATTCCAGTATCCTCGTGCAACCGAAATAACTGGATATTAGTCCTCTTCGTTCATTATCACCAATGGTAAAGCATAAGGACTGTTACTGTAACAGATGTACTTACTTTCGTGTTTAGCACCTCTTTGTGCATATATTGTAGTTAGAATGGCTGGATATTCGGAACCCTTCGTGAACTTTGAATGTTGGGTATTCTTACCATTTTTTTCTGTTCTTTTGCTCCTACTTCATGGGTTCCTGAAAAGGTTTAACGTATCATCCACAAGCGTGTGATGTTTCTCGTTCGTCGGGTAGATAACATTCTGTCAGACAACTTGTTTGCTACGCGCCAAAGCGCTGTAAGTAGTTTATCACTAAATAAATGGAAGAATATAAAACCTTATCAACCTCTTAATCTAGGGGCCTTCAACGTGACGACTCTGATGCGGGTGGGTCAACAAGCATATCTTGCACGTACAATGAATTCTTTGGAAATTGATGTCTGTTGTTCATCAACGACACGCATTCAGAATCCTAGTGTTATAAGCCACCTAAGTGCTCCAGGTCTGTTCCGGAGTTATTTCCTTCGAACATCAGGAAACGAAACGGTTGTTCGTATCTAGCACCAACTTTCGACACAGCTCTCGTCTGACAGCAACATGGTGTTCTATCTCAACGATTAATTCGACCGAAATTGATCAGTACAAAATTGCGGATCCTATTGAATCACCGGCGTTGAGTCGGATCACTCACTAGTTCTGATGAGTTTCACGCTTTGATCCATCAGTTATCGTCAAAATCGCCCCTTCAGTTAGCTCATCATCGTCTGCGTGACCCAGCGGTTTGCACTCGTCATGAGGAGAATCTTGGGCAGAGGCTAGGAGCATCGCGGTGTGGCGGACTAGATCAAAAGTGGGATTAAATTAGACATGTGATGCATTTGGCGGCAAACTTTGCTTGTGGGCCCGAACCCGAAGTTCGTCTAAGACAATGGATCCCTGAATAGTCTGCAGCCTTGATAGAAAAATAGTGGAGAATCCCAATCCGCTACGAGCATCACAGGAATGTCAGCTCGAAAAAAGTCTTGACAAAGACCGCGATAACTAGTTGGCCAAAATAGCCAGTGAAGTGGCCATTGCTTCTGTATCAAGGAATAGTCACAGGTTCTTTCACGTGAAACACAGCACTGGAGGTGCTGGACTTGTGGACTCTATTACTGGTCTGGAAGGCATATCCCTTTGTCTTGGAGTGAATAATTAATCGCTCCGATTTTCAAGGCGGTATCAATCAATGACTCCGCCAACCACCATGGGGTAAGTTTCGTTACGATTGTCACAAGAATACTAAATTTTGTGATGCTTCACCGCCTGACGTAAGTAAGCCAGAAGCATACTCCTCACCGGCAAGCAGAATTCCGTCCATATCGCAGTCGCATTGATCAAATCTACAACGTGCATCAAATCCTCGAATGGCGCCATACGCGTCATCGATCAACATTCAGTGTTCCCTAACCTCCAAGGAACGTTTGAGTCAGTCGACCGTGAAGCTCAAATGGATGCGCTGCTTTGCAAAGGAATGCCGTAAAAGTATGTAGATCTATTGCGTTCACTGTCCTTACATATTTCTGTTAGCGTAACGGTATGTGGTGGGCTAAGCAAATCGTTCAAAACCAAGAGCGGTGTTCGCCAAGGGTGCACTGTTTATCCATTTGTATTCACTTTCGTCGTAGGCGGAGTACTGGAGAACGCACTAAGTAGTCTCTATGATATTAGTATCTAATGGGGACGGGAGTAGAGAAAGACTGCGATTGAGAGTAGGCTGACAAAATCCTTTGTCTCTTCCAACGAATGGAGGATGCGCAAAGCGCACTTCATAGAATTTCAAGTTTTGCAACTCCATTTAGTATTTGCTTTGCATCTTCAAAGGACGAAGTAATGCCACAAAACTGGGTGTCATCGACCCCGACTCTGGTGCTTCATGGTCAGGATTTAGTTATGTTAGATTACTTCTCATACTTAGGTAGTCCAGTGGCAAATGATGGTAACATAGTAAAGGAAGCTTCGCACGCATTTCCAAGGCGCGAACAACGTACGCAAGACTGCAGCAGTTTGGTGCAGACGCGATGTCTTCGTGAATCTGAAAGGTTGGGTATAGTGTACAGTCAGTTCTTCTATGTGGTTGCGAAACCCTAAATTTACGTTGAAGACATCTATCGTCTGGAAGTCTTCGAGTGCTGATATTTGGCACGAGTTGGATGGAGTGAGTGTGTAAGCAACTCTTAGGTTATCCGTCGCATATTTGGTGATCATTCGGCAGAATTTTCGTTATCACATTCGAAACAGTAGGCTTCGTTGATTAGGACACGTACTGCGTATACCCAACTATGATGGCCCCCACTGTGCCTTGCAGTTGCTGCTCAAGGTTGAAGGAAACCACGTGGAGTTCAACAGATGACGTGGAAACGAGGCACAGAGCGATTAGACATAATGAGTGTCTCCCGTCTTCCAGGTTGGGGTCCAAACGACTCTGTATCTGGTCGGTCGGAGACACTGAATAACATGGCGTATAACCGACAGCGGTGGCGTTCGTGTATTCATTTCTTATCAGGTCAGAAGGCTCAAAAGGAAATGTATGCACAGTTAGGGTGTGCACTCTTTGTAGATTCACTTTCTTTTTCTCCTTCCAATTATGCCCAATCCCTGTCCATTTTGTACATCTCACTAACTTCATGTATACTGAAAACTTTAGAGTGATCAGTGAAGTTTAATTCATCGTATGACGATGATTTCTGATATCCACCCATGTTCAGTACTTCTTTTATTAGCGGTACTTGTATTTCTTGTTGTTAGTCAAATGAATCCACTAACCGTTTCACCTCACTCGCTTTTTCAATCCAGCCCGCTTCAGAGTGCCATTTCCGATGCTCCTTCAAGCTTAAGAGATGCCATTGCCTTTGCTCGGGTCTTTGTCATGTCACAAGGTATGTTGTTTACTTGGTGCCTTTGTTTCTCCTTCCACTGTTGCTTTGGGATCAAATCGACAAATTCATCATCATCGTCATCATCACTGTACAGCGTAATACAGTGAAGCGAACTTCACTGCTCGCTGCCAAACTCGTAATGCATGCATGTGAATCATGGAACGTTCCCCTTTATTATAAAGATTATTGTACCATGATTTGTTTGACACAGCCTGGCCTCATGGGTGTGTGGAGTTTTACATAAATATATATATATATATATATATGTTTATTGTATATGTTGCGTATATATTGTATATTGCATGTTTTATCCGTTCTATCATTGTGGCATTATTTTCCGTCGAGGGAGAAATAAATGTTCCTAATGCGTTAGCTAGCTCCATCATTGTGTGATCTAAAGTCACAAAGCTTTCCGTTTGTTGCTATTCCTCCTTATTGCAGATCAATTACTAAATCATCTCTCAGACCCAAATCAAGCTTTAAAAGCCATTCGGGATGCACCAGTTAACCGGCTTATTGAGAACGATCTCAAGGCGATCGATTTCTTGGTCAAGCGGATCGGTTTGTTGATAATGATGTACGGGCAAATGCCCGAAGAGGTACGTGATCGTTTTCAGTTGTATTGGAACCCCTTGATAAGTCATTCAATATAGACGATTTGGCGAATCGTATGCTACTCTTTAGAATAACGGATTTATAGTCCTATTGACTGAATGTCACCGAAAATCAACCTCCGATCTTGGCATGGCCGACAGAATAGTGCACTGACACAATGCAAACGAACACAAGATGATTGCACTCTGTTCCTATACTTGGCACTTGCGTCTGAGAGCCCGTCTCTAACCCCGGTCTGTCTCGGTTTGATATCCACCGTATGTTTGTTACATGCATGCTATGCAGATATTCCAATTGGTGTCATCGCCGTCCAAGCGCTCTCTGTTCTCCGTTCAGCAGTCGATCAAAGTGGACTACATTGCAATCATCCGCTGGTAGCTATTCGTGTTTGCAGCTGTCATGGGCACTGTTCTACTTGCGTACGCCATTCGCTGGACGTGCCATGTTGGACATCCAAAACGAACGATCACACCGAAGTATAGTTCAAATAGTTCAAACTGTCACAATCAACTATATAAATCATTACCCAAGCACGCTGAATCACTATCTAGAGACCGTCATACCGATTATTTTCGACGCGTAATAGCAAGCTCCTCTTGGATTCATGAAGTAAAACCCCGAATTTCAGCATGTTCTGTGCATTCTCTTGGCCATCTGTTCTCATCTCTTTCGAGGTCCCCAGCCAGGGAGCCTAATGGGACTTATGTGACCCAGACTCCTGGTTAGGGTTTTCATATCCTCACTCCAGGTTTCAGCTTGACCACCTTTGGCTTTATTGCACTCGGTGTCTGCTTCGGCGAACATCGCTCGCCGTGGCAACCTATTTGGTGACATGCGTAACACATGCCCCAATCAACGTAATCCATGGAGGTCGACCACTCGCTCCAGTGGGCGACTGCGGTTGCCTAAAGCTTTGCGCCGGACCTCAGTATTGGTCTTCCGGCTGACCCCACCAGATTCATGCAATGCTGCATAGACACCAATGTTCAAACACCGACAGTCTATCTTTATCCTGTTTCCTTAATCGCCAAGTTTCTGCGCCATATAGCAGAACTGCTGCAGCATACACTCGACCCTTCACAGACAGTCGGATGTCGCGACGCCGCCACAGATGTCTCAAGTTGGCAAATGCCAATCGAGCCTTCTGTGTGCGCGCCGACACTTCATCCGTCATGCCTCCACCGGGTGAGATATAGCTGCCCAGGTAGTAAATTTTGTCTACTTGCTCTATTACTTCCCCAGTTAGGGTGCTGGACTAATCCAGTCTTGTAGTAGCATTTTACATTTTGAAGCTGCGAAACGCGTACCGAACATGGCTACACTAGCACTCAAACTATCCAGAAAGGCTTGCAAC